CCCGAAAAACAGCGTGTTTCTGCTTCCACTCAAAACAGGCATTTTCAAAATTAAATAATAAATGATCTGTGGAGTATTTTGAGCTGAAACTTCACAGACACATTCTGGGGACACCAGAGACTTATATTACATATTGTAAAAAGGGGCATAATATGTCTCCTTTAAGGGTCAGTGGAGTCTTTACCTCCTCGTCCTCCGGCAGGAGCTTCAGCAGCTCTCTGAGAGACTCCACGCTGAAGACGCCTGTGTTTCCATGAAGAATATCATCCAGAAGACTCTCACTGGACCTGGACATACAGAGAATCAATGAGAGCAGACGAACACACACACACACACACACACACACACACACATACACACACGATACAGTCTTACTTTTTGAAGTGTTTCAGAAAAATGCAGATATTCAAGCTTCTCTTGGAGTCCAGGATGGTGATCTAAGGAGAAGCACACACACACACACACACACACACTTATAAATGCTGTATGTTGTAATATAAATCTCATCACTAACATCATCAAACCAGTGTTGCTTTACTCTCATTAATATAGTATATACTGTGATACGTTTTGAATTAGATTTTATTTTCATGTTTTCTGTCTATACAGTATATTTTCCATTTTCATTTTGAAGATTTAGTAGTTTTGTTGTGCTTTTGTCATTTGTATTAGTTTTTGTTAGTTGTAGTAGTTTTTTTTTTTAAATAAATATTTACATTGTTTTTATTAATATTTTGATTGTTCGATTTCATTTTAGATCGTTTTAGTGATTTTTTGTGTTTTTGTCAGCTTATTAGTTTTTTAATGTCTACATAGATATAGATATATATATATATTGAGTGAGTTATATATATATTTTTAATATACATTTATATACATTTTACTTTTAGGTGAAGTTTCAGCAGTTTGTTGTGTTTTTGTCATTTTCATGATTATTATTGATTTTTTTAATTAATTTTAATTTTAGTGTTTTTGTCCGTTTTTAATTTTTTTATCAACATTTACATGTATTATTATACAGTACATGCAGTTATTAATGTTTTGAATCTTTATTTATTTACATTTTTTAAATTCTCGTTTTTGTAATTGTATTAGCTGTTGGGTTTTTATATCTATACAGTTTTTACTAATATTTTGAATAATTTTTTCTTTTTCTTTTTAATTTAACATTTTTGTCATTTTGTTGTGTGTTTTGTCAGTTTTTTATTTAATGTCTAAATATAGCTTTTTAAATAATATTTTGAATGAGTTTTTTATATGTTCTGTTCATGTTAATTTGAGTGGAATTGCTGTTAATGGTTTGAGTTTGAGTTAACTCTGCATCAAACCTCCTCTGATCTCAGTAGATCTCACCTGCGGCCTGAGATCTTTCACAGAAGTGTGTCTTCGTCCAATCGTGCAGCAGGTTGTTGTGAACGAGGGTGTGTCCTCGTGTCCGAACAGCTCCTCGATGGCTCTGATGTCGATGTGGAATGGATCTCTGCTGCTCCACAGGTTCGGCCTGTTCTGCTGCTTGACACGATCTTCAGGAATCGGTTTCCAGAAGAAGCTCCTCACCCTCCTCTTCCTCTCCTCAGGGTTTCTCACAGGAAGGGGAGGGGGAAGGGGAGGAGCCAGAGGGGGGATGCTTTGAGGGGTGTGGTCATATAATGAGGGAGGCCATGCAACAACCCCGCCCTCTTTCTCAAAACTGCTGCTCATAGTAGAAGGGGATGTGGGCGGGGTCAGAAGATGATTGACAGCTTGAACACCAACATGAAGATCCAATGAGCTCAAACAACAAACAGAAGCTTTTGTAACACGAGAAAAACAAAACACAACTCAAACTTCTTTTTCTAAATGAATACAATGCATAAGAGTATCTTCTAAATGCATCAAACAGACTCATTCCACTGGTCGATCCAGAATTTGGCTGCTTAAACACCTTCAGTTCAGGGATGTAGAATCTATGTTCTTTCAGAAACGAGAAGAATATCCCATGTGCAAACGCTCAGGTGTCATTAAACGCTTTCATTCACACACTTCAGCGCAGACACAATCCCAAACATAACACAAATATGCTCCTATCAAGGTAAAAATGTGTTATTTCGGAATGTTCTCTAAACATTCATAAAATGTATCTATTGTCAAGGGAACATTCCATTTGATTATTTTGCAAACGTTATGGGAACGTTACTTTTGAATGTTCTGAAACAAATTGTAACATTCCAAAAAGTTACTTAAACATCCAACTACAACATTTCAGGAACAAAAATGAATGATGTGTAAATACACGTTTTTGTGCTAATGATTTGAAAGCATTACTAAATACCAGAGACGTTTGAAAGAATGCTCTATTAATGCTACTGGAAGAACATTTGTTCATAAATGTGATAAAAACTCACAGAGACTCTCTCTGGACCGAACGAATGCCAAATTCATCATAATTTCATTGTTTTCTATAACGCATAGAATGCTCG